GGAATGTTAAATCTGCTTCCAGTAGCAGTTCCGATTTCATATTCTCTTCAGTTATCCCGACACGACAACTAACCTGTTGTCTCAGCTGCATATCCAGCTGGCCACCGAAATTACATTTCACAGCGAAAAACCGTCTTTTTTACTTTCATTAATTTTCTTTGTAATATACACCAAAATTAAAATCGTTCTAAATCAATATTCCTCAACTTCCGGTGAAGAGTGCTTAATATTGAATCTCTTGAGTAGTTGTTCATATTTCTTTTGGTGAATAAGTAGTATCTTTCTTGCTCCTGTTGGCGACGTGGAGTGTTCTATTTTTCCAATTGAATTAAGAAGTAATTTCCCCAAATTTAGTACTACCTCAAACTTGTACGTAGAATTCATTTTTTTATTTTTTATTACAGCTTGATTCCACACTGTATTTTTGGTACAAGTACGGAATTTTCAGCATGCATATCGGTAGCCCACATTTTGCAGGCCGACCATAGATATCAGGTATGCTTCGTCTGCAGGGGATCGAACCTCGGACCAGTGCATGGTCGGCGAGAGTCCTAACCACTGTGCCACCGACGCACAAATCAAATAAGGGCCACACAGATTGTATTAATAATCTTATATTTGATTGGTTGGAAGGTCATCATGAGCTGACATCAGTTAGAGAACCACTGGAAAACCTGGGAGTACTGGGCAGCCATTTCGTCCTAGTTCGGGGCTCTTTATAGTACACACCTAGGGTTAGAACTCAGGGCCTTCTGGTTATAAGGCGAGCTCGTAGACCAGTAAGCCACCGGGACCTCGATCCAATGGCCAGCCCATGAATTCTAACTTCTGCCGATTCATTACATAGCGCTACCTCTTCTCAATGTCTTCTTCGATGAGTTACTGCCTCACCTTCAACCTGCTGTATCCTACTAGTCACGTCATCCCACCAATACTCGAAAATCTTGTATTTATATTAGGATAACTGAAATTCAGAGAGCCGGTCTGTCAGTCAGACAGACACCACACATTTCTTATTCAAAGAAATTGTACCTTTCAATATCATTAAATCCAAATAAGTAGTCATTTGCATGCTTAGTTAGAGAGTATGGATGTGTACATTGTAATAATTTTTTTATTCCTTCTAATTGGTCGGGTGGATGAATATAGAGCTTCAAACGTATGGAAGTCGCCGTAGCGGTAGTGTTGTTTATCTTGAGTGACTACATACCTATATAACAGAACAAACTTTCCACTCTTTCCTTTCAATATACTTGAATAGATAGAACAGAGGCGATCGATTACGATTTGGATTTCCTCAGGTAGAGTAGTTGGTCTTATGTAATTTTGAGAAGTGTGGTAATTCTGTAAGATGTTGTGCTTGGCTGTTTCAAAGATGTTTTATCAGCTTATTTTACTCAGCTGATGTTTACTGCTATAGTTGCACTTCTTTAATGTGTATTGTATAGCAACCACAAGACAACACATATTGTACTGATGATTCAACCTTCTTCGGTAGCAGTTCATACTCCAGTCTAAGAAAATTTTGCATTGATGGCTTCTTTAAAAAAAATAGTCTCATCATTATTCCCTCTCACAATTAGCAATAAATAATAATAATAAATAATTTTCCCTTCACCTTCCCCAGTGAAACATAGGGCTTCAAGCTAGTGGCTTGAAGTTCCTGTAGCAGTGTTTTTATTTTAACAGGATGGGTTTGCTAGCCTCATGCCCAACCTTTCCTTTTTACCAGCATTATTTCTGGCTTAGCGAGGTAAAGGAGTACGTCGGCGGCCGGGGATCGAACCCCGGATCATGTACATGGTCGGCGAGCGTCCTAACCGCTATACCACCAACGCACTAATTAGCAATAGATCGGATCCAAAATATCATAAATTGTAGATGGAGTAATATGTGTAGATATTTCTGCCTATTTTTTTTAAAGCAAAACTGATTGACTCTACCCCGTCTCAATTTTTCATATACCCTTCTCTTGTTTGTCACTTATACAAGGAAATGAAAATCAATAATCATTGAAAAGACGACAATTGAAACAACCATTAGAAAAAAAATAATAATAAGCTTTATTCCAAAACAGTGTTTGCGAATACAGAATGGAATTCTCAGCATTTTACTACAGTATTGCGTTCAGTTAGTACATTATCAATAAAGAAAATTCTACATAGATTAAATAAATCTCAGTTCATTATGACAACAACTTATTAGCATGTCTGCAAAGCCAAAATTGAATATTGCTTGAAGGTGTTAGAAAAGTAGATGCTTGCATATTTACTGGCGTAAATGGAAGAAAGAAACAAAGCAGCACATAACAGAAAAAAACGAGAGAGACAGCAAAGGAAAAGAAAGGAAGAAAACGTTGTACCTATAAATGATATGAGTTGGAAAGACGAGATCCAGTTGTTCTACTGACTATTTAATAAGTTATAGGTATCACACCTAATGCTTTCTTTATCGCACAGAACACGAGCTAAGTAGGGTATGGTTGAGTGTGATATAAAGTTCATAATTAATTTAGATGATTTTTTTGAGAAGATGAATTTCCATTTCTTCAACTGAATCTCATGATTATTTGTTTTGATTTACACGCCTTCATCATCGCCTAAAATGTTTTGTTAGTCGGAGGTTTGTTGAGTTTGAGCGTGCTTGCGTTCACGCGGGCGCGCGCGCGCAAAAAGAAGTGTCAATCTCATAACTTCTATGAAACTAAAAACTATGAAAAAAAAATTTATTGTATGCATGACGCAGTTACACTTCACCTACTACTCGTTTAGGTGATAGTATCGCACATACTTTTGGTTAGTTTACAGCATTTCATTACTGAATGATGCATGTATATTTAAACGTTGTGTTTATTACTCCATTTTATGCCTCGTGATTTACAAAAAAAGGTATTTCTTATTTTGTGATTTATGAAGCAGAAGAAGAAGAATGTGTAGTCGTCTTTCATCATTAAACTTAGGTGATTGGGACTGATTTTAAAAGCTATGTATCATCAACATTGTAACATTTTGTTTTAAAAACATTGTGAAATAGTGTTTTAATGTGTATTAACTTGGCACGAAATGATGAGAAACACACTGCTCCTTTAGATTCATTTCATGTGCTCTTAAAAGCTAATTTCTTTGTTCAAAGATAGTTTTCTTTATGAGATTTGTGAGGATTCTCATTAATGTCATCTCAACTATTAGATGTTGTCATGAATCAACATTATTGGAAAGCTAAGGGAACACTGAGCAGCTGTGCCGCCCTACTTTGTGACTCTTTGGCAGTGCGCATTCAGGACCACATCTAAGACCTCCATGTTATGAAACTAGGCTCATTGGATAATCAGCCACTTGGGCCTGTGATATAGTGCTACCCTCATCAATGCCTTCGGAGACCATCCACTTCACGCTGATATGGTGGACCCTCCCCCCCACTGGTGATTCATCCATTAGCTATCATGGAGCTGGAAATTGATACTTCGAGTATGGTTTTTTGTTGATGGAAGTTATGACTCACAGGACATTGAATTGTGAAGCCCAACAGGGCTGAATGGTCAACGAGCTTAGTGTCGTAACGTGAAGGTCCCGGGTTCGATCACTGTTGGGATGGTGGGGTGATGGAAGTCTGAAACTAAAAAGGAAATAGCGGTTTAGTGCTCTTTGAGTTGTCAATGATATCTATGGACTGATGTTGGTTTGTGACGAATTCTAACAAGTGGAATCAAAAGACAAAAGGATTGAGTGAAGAAATGTTTACTTTTAATTGTGATCCTCATCTGTGTCTATACTCCAATATATATATGTATTGGGGGGCGGGGGCGATAATTAACCAGAAAAATGAATGCAACAACTAAAGGGTAGCAATGATTACAACAAGTTGATTGCATAGTGTATAATTTTGAAAAAATGATGACTAGTTAAGGTATAAGGGAATGTTCAAGTGAATTACGTAATAGGGAATTAAAGATAAAATAATTTGAACAATGAGGGAGGATGGAATTGTTATTTTTTACTTACATATAACTATGGCCAAAGTAAGGAAAGTAGCTTCACGATTTTCTTCTGAACATATAGGTTTGACCTCTTCAAGTAGGTGAATACCGATGACTTCAACTCTGTTGTAGAAGACGAACTCGTAAAGTCAGATTAATATTAGTCAGAATGTGATAAATAACTTTAAATACTTTATTGACATCAACATTAATGCTCATATAGAGGAGGAGAAATGAAACAGTTTGACGTTATTTCTCAAATGTGAGATTAGAATGATTGCGAAGAGACAGACAGAGCGCACCTCTGCTGCAGTGAATGCTCTTTACAACTTAAGAAGTTTAGTTTATTTTCACTGTAATTTATGGGGGAGATGGTATTCGATCTAATTCTCAGTTGTCCGATTGACTGATAATCTTCAAGATCAATTGTAAGGACTGAATGGAAGTTGTCCATTGTATGTGTTTCTTAATTAACTCACTAATCCATAATACATCATCTGAAGCAATATTGTACACCCGAAATTATGCTTTAACGCTACTCCACAATATTCTTCCTTGATTCCCTTCAAAAAGGTCCTAACTGTAAAGTAGGGAGTTGTTTGAAATGGGTGCTCAAGTATAGATTACGACTCATTGGTTCAGTAGATTAAACGATTGATCCACTTTCTCTATCCGTTACATCTACTAAAGTGTACGCTTTGGAGAGACAATGAGTACAGTAGAAGAGTGCTTATGTAGTGTAGTTTATCATCCCGTACACAAAATTGTTTCTCCTAATCTGTTAGGATATAGTCACACATGCACAAGCACCCACGGAAACAAGCAAAAAAACAAGTTGAATTTTCCATGTACTTTTGTTTATTTATTTATTTAGTTATCAGGTGTATGTATTTTTGCATAATTTCATTTTGTACTCTGTGTTGTTTTTTTTTTAAATATTGTTTTACATTCCCTTTACTTTTGCTTTTTTCTTTTCTTTTTGTTCTTTCTTTTCCCAGTTCTTTGTGGCCTTAGAGTTAGTCAAATGACTAAAACCTATGAAGACTTGGATGCAATTACACAATTGTTAGAAGAGGTAAGTGTAAGGAGGGAAGGAAGTAGGCATTTATCTTTAATTGGAGAATGGAGGTCAACACAACTTATGGTGTTGTTATTTTTGTTGTTTTTACGCCAGCTTTATTTCACATCTATATTGTTCCTCATTTAGTATTTTATAAAATTGTCCTAAGGCCAACCAACACTTAAGTAGTTAGCTATTGCATAATTCTCACTAACCTGCATGTATATACTCTCTCTTTTTTTGACTAAGAAGTCTGAAAGTGGATGGATTGGCTTGTTGTTCTAAACTGCATTCATCAACCCCTATCCCCAGTTATTCACATAACAGCGGTAGAGAGAGAGACAGAGTGTGTGTGTGTGTATGTGACCACATGAAAGAAATCATATGACAGCAGAATTTCAGAAAAGTATTTTATTCCAAAAATGATAGAAAACATAAACAGCTTCTCATGTTATCTTACTAATGGTAATTTTTCATTCTTTACTAAAGTGTGTTTTTGAAGGTTGTTGGAATATTTCAAACGAAAATTGAGTTTAGTGAACAAAGAACATATTCTTTTTGATGACTTGTTTCTTCATCAGGAGATATAATTATATCTATCCATAATAGTTAAAGAATTATTGTTATTATTATTGTTCCCTTGGGTTCCTAGTGGAACATAAGGCTTCAACTGTACTTCTCCACTTGCTTCTGTCTTCCTTCTGCTGTATATTTTCACCTGCATCCATGTTAGTCCATACTGTTTCAACTCGTCTTCACACGATATCCTCCATGTCACCCTTGCACTGACGTCCCACTCGCCGCTTCCCTTTCGGCCTGGTTCCAATCGAGCAATGGCCTGACGCGCGCGCGATGTCACCCAACGAGCGGCCTCCTCATCAGTGAGTGTCCGATCCATCACAATCCACTTTCTCCTGCATATTTGCTGGTTGGCGATTGGTTCTTGTTTTGTTTGTTTGTGCCCATAGTTTCTTGTTGGTGATTCTTTCCGGCCTGGCCATCTGATCTTCAGTATAGAGCCAGCGAAGACAGTTGTTGATAGAGGTCTGCAACCTGTTGGAAATATTCTTTTTACGAACATTCGACGTCCTCATCCTTATTTTTGCTTTCATCGAAAGACGGCACATCGGCTGACTGGCTTCCCGAAGGCTTTCACCAGCCTGCGTCATTTCACTTCCCCGATTCCAGCGAAAAATAAGGTTATTGTTTATATTTTTAGTATTTTTAATATGTTTATGTGTTGAAGTTTCTGTAGCAATTTGGTTAAGTTTTGGGGGTGGAGTGTGGCTAGCACCACGCCCCAACCCTCCCTCTTTATCCGGGCTTGGAACCGGCTAGAAAACTAGCGAGCTAGTAATCTAGGCGAGGTTATTGTTGCTATTAACAACAACAATAATGTTCCTCTTAAATAAAATCGAGTCGATAAGACCGACAGATTACAGTTCGAAAGCATCTGTAAGCGTTAATAGGCATAAATGCACCACTGAACTGAATATCAGAGAAATTAAGGGTTGTGTGTAACACCAGAAGGCAAGACACGGAAGCAAAGGTTATGTTTTCAAGTGTTCACATAGCCTATTTACATAGATACAGTTTATATTCTTTAACCATACGTCACTATGTTTGTGATTTTGGTTTACATTAAACAACATGAAATAGAGTGTTCAAATTCATCTATACTATTCTGTTGTTGGTGCAGCATTGAACTGTGGGAATAGTATTCAGACGTTAACACTAACAAATACAATGATTCTTACTGTGAGTATAACACTCCGTTGAAACTCATTGTCTGTATCACAACACCACAAAAGTAACACAGAATTTATGAATTTCTGGGCTCGACAGCAGACCAGAGTAGCAATGATGGCTAGCTGGACCTGTTTCTTATACACACACACACACACACACACACACGGAGCTCCGGTTGATTTAAGCAAATTGCAGTGACTTCTGCTGTTTGGAGTGTTTACTGTCTAAAGGCCTTTGGTAACTCATCCAATGCCCGATAGATGGTAGAGAAAGACTCTTCAATAATGCCATGTTTGGACGAGTTGATCTAATACTGAACTATGAATGGTGTCAACTACATTTTTATTTAACCACACAGTCAGTGATAGATGTTCCTGAGCGCGAAACATATACGTCCTAGAGCTACAGCCAATATAAGTGATGGATACAATAAGTGGTGGACAGTCGTAACCGGTCGTGTGCAAAAATATGATTTGCAGTTCACCTGTATTAAACGTGCTTTGAATTGGTTTCCTTAACTTGTTGGTTGTTATTTCACTTTGTGGTATGTCACTCTTGAATAACAATCACATAGAGGTAGAGGTCTTTTTGATGTGGTTTTGTTCTCTGAGCTGGATGGTTAGTTTGCGAAGCTTTCATCACCTTACTGGGTGACATCTTCAGCGCATACTTCAATCCACCTGAGCAACAAATCTTCTCTATCATATCTAGGTAGAGGTCTCCTGCTTACTTTCCTCCTGGTCATATATTTCATGATGGACTTTTATGGATAGCTATTTTCAATTATAGGTGTCATATACAATCTTAACTACATCTTCTGAACATGCAGATGTGAGCTTGTAGCTGAGGCTTTTTTTTTATCAATTTTCATTTTTGTACTGGAGAAGAACAAAGCTGTGAATATATATGTGTGTGTGTATATTGTCCTGTCCGTGTACTTTTCTTATACAAATATCGTTTTATACACTAGCATCTGGTATTCTGTTGTGAGTAGGACATATCTGCGTTGGCAATTTTCCATTCGGGGGATTCTTCTTCACACGTGAATTCAAGATCTAGAAAAACCTCATGGTGAATGGAGCTATTATTTCATGCTGCCTGCCTAAATCATTTCCACAAAGGATAAACGTATCAATTCATGTATAATCCCATCCCCATCCAGGCATTAATGAAAACAAAACGCGTAGATCAACCAAGAGTCTCTTTTCGGCGAATTCATTTTCTTAGCTGTACAATCGCCAATATATATATGTTATTTTGTATATATGTGTACATTAAGTTTGTCAAACAAAATTACAATTGGTTATGGTTATTTTAACTAAACAGGTGAAGATTGGTAATACAAGTCAAGAAAATTAGGTGTTAATGAAATTAGGGTAGTAACAAAGGTGATGAGTTGTCACAAACAGTTGTTAGAAGAAGTTATGTAATAATATGAATGGTTTGATGAGTGAGTTTTACTCGGGGTGCACACAAAAACAAGGTAGATAATACGAAACTATGTGAGAGATCTAAGTGAATACAAGAATTATAAGCAATTAAAGAGGAACAGGCAAAGAAACAAAATTAAGTCATCAAAATAAAAAAATAAAAAAAAGTTGTTACCATGACAGTAGAAGTGCCTGTGTAGTCCTCTTTTGTATACACAGCTCCGGTTTTTCTATGTTAATGGCCAGAGCTTCAGCGATACAAAGAAGACGACATTGTATTGGCTTTGGTAGGTTATTCTTGACTCTGTGGATTACTTTGGAGGAGGTGTTTGTTGAAATAGAATGATCAGTGTTAACCAGGTGTCCAATTATCGCACTCCTTATTGCAACACTATTGCTTTTTCGCAACCATGCTGGATAGTGTTCTTGAATCCTCTTGGACAGGGTGCGCTTTGAACGACATATCATTCATATATATATATATATATATATATATCAGAAATAAAATGAGAATTTTACAATAAAATTGGTTTTAGTACAGTATTCTAGTTCACCTCAAAAGAAATCTGCTAAAACGGGACCCGATGGGGAAGTAATTTCCACCCGTATCTACTAGCCTAGTCTGTAGAGATCGCCATCAAATTTAAAATATATATTTATGGTACGCCTTAATATCTATTCTTTCAGGATTTCTATTGCGATCCCAGTATTTATTGATTTGTCACTTATCTGTTGCTAACCGTCTCAATCAGAGGTACATTTATGAATAGAGATAATACCTCCAAAGATATCATAGTTTTATCCCTGATGTTAATATCACTGATGCTGTCTATGAATTCAAACACATCTTCTAATATATTATATTTCACTAGCTGTTCACTTAAAAGTTTTGGAATAGAGTTATCAACCATCTGATTAAAGAATGGTAGGGTGAATATTGCATATCTAGAATTAGTCTTAACTGCACTGTAGGTTCACCGTAGGCCCTATAATCTTGGTGTGTATATGCCTGGTGGGTCTGAGTTCGTCTTCATATACATTTGCAGTAAGTATCTGTCCTTCCTTTAGGATGTACTAAAACATTTAAGGTACAGACTTCACCACGTGGACTTACGTGATTTTTCATCTGATCTGTGCATGCCATTTACTGCCAGATCATACCTGTTAGATGTGTAGGCGTGGATTAAGAAAACTAATGTTATAAAAACATACAACATGGTTAGACACTTTAGAGTCACACTGAATTGACTTCAATTAAAGAACCACTGAACACTAGGAAGCACTCAACAACTGTTTCGTTCTCATTCGGGACTCTTCATTAGGACGCACCACCTCACCATCAGGTTACAAGGTGATGTCGTTTACCATTCGACCATCGGGACGAAATCTAATAGTTTGTCAACTTCTGTCTATTCGCCACGTATATATGACACAACTGCTAGCCAACGTCATCGATGAGTACTTGTCCTCACACCTAACTTGGCGGACCCCCATTGGTCATGACTTCCCACTAGAACAGATATTTCAAACAGATATTTCAGAACAGATTCAAACAGATATTTGGATTTCCGATCATCCCATCCTATGTCAGTAAAAATAGGATTAGTGAAATGTTTAAATGACAGAGCACAAAAACTAAGTAGTACCAAGGAAAATCTAAGACAGGAAGTGACACACGTAAAAGAAGCCTTGAAACTTAATAATTACCGAATAAAAAAAAAAAAAAAAAAAAAAAAAAAAAAAAAAAAAAAAAAAAAAAACTAAAAACCAATAAAAATTCAAGGAAAACAGTTAAGGTTACAACAAAAAAAATTCCCACTAGAACTTCAGGCTGGTTTTCAGCGATCCCCCAGACTGAAGTCGGTTCATGTTCAATCTTTAATGTTAATCAAATCCCTGCAAAGCAACATTTAAACAACAATAATTAACCAAAAATTGTGCATTAGATACACACATATATGTGTATATTGTGTTTTGTGCTCTTTTTCATGCACAGAAACAAACAGATCTTGAATTGGCTGCAAAAATTGGCAAAAATCTATTGGAAAGAAATCGTGATCTTCAATCCAGACTGATTGAAACAGAGAAAAATTTATGCGCACGTGATGAAGTGGTAAGTCGACATCACTTTTACAAAAAAAATAAGTCAAAATAACATTTAAATGTTTTGGATTTTTGTAGACTATCTGAGTTTCAACGTAGAATTTAGCACAAAAGTGCAAAAGTCTCAAGTTTCCACACTCCATATAGCACACAAATGTAGGAGAGAGAGAGAGAGAGAAAAAAAAGATTCAGATCACCTATAATGAACAGAAATATGCGGAAGAAAGGATGGTGCCTGGAAAAAATTTAAAGGCTTAGTGGATCTAGGAGATTATAAGAAGTGAAGGCATCTGTGTCATCATCGAGGACGATTTTGATCCATAGCACCAATAGTCTCTTGTTATTGGCTCTTAGAATCTCAAAAACCCCCAACCTAGCAGCTTATACACCTTCTTACGTGATTGACTCAAATCAACTGTCAAATACTTCATGTGTTGAAGCCAAGTTTTGGTTTGACCACCCCTTCCAACCCTTTTCCAACCTAATCCCTTATGAGCTGACATTGCTGGTGTCTCCGAATGTGCAGCACATGTTCTAACCATCTTATTTGGTGGTGGTAGCTATTCGAGGGGGGGAGAGCTAGTGGTAGTCTACGCCAGAGATGGTGTAGATGTGATATCCGACCATCGACCAAAGGGCGAGTGTACTGCTCATCGGTCCACTCCGTCCCCGTTTATGGCTGTGAGACCTGGCCATTGAGAGAGGAGGACATGAAAAGACTAGCTGTCTGTGATCATAGGTGCCTGCATTTTATTTCCTGTGTAAAGTGGTATAATAGGATGAATAATATTGAGGTTAGGCGTCGAATGCTGGGTAAGGAGTGAAAACCGATCGATGAGGCTGTGAAGTTACATCGACTGAGATGGTTAGGACATGTGTTACGTATGCCTAGCCATCGCCATCCTCAACAGGTGATGCTAGCTGACATGGGATGGATCAGGTTGTATAAGAGAGAGCTAGTGGTGGTCAAACCAAAACATGGTCTCATCAGTCAATGAAATCCACAATAGTTAATTTAAGCCACATAGGAAGATGCAGAATTCCTGGTTGGGGTCCTCGGGACGGTAAAAACCAATGGCTTGAGACAATCAGTGATATGGCTCAGAATCGTTCTCAATGGTTAGCGCAGATGCATCCACTCCTTGTGACTTATGATATCCAATAAAACTATATTGTTCTTCGTGATTACTATTCCTTTCTTCTCATATCCCTGTCTACTGTCTCTATTATGCATTTCTTCTACTTTCTTCTGTTGATTTGTGTGTTGTATGGAGTGTGGCGACTTGCACTGCTGCACTTCGATGTACAGTTCTATGTGTAAAACAGACAGACAGACAGACAGAGATAGTCATTGAAAACCAGGGAGTACTGGATAGTTGGAATGACCCCACCGTGTATCGAACCCAGGATCTTGAGATCATGAAGAGAACTCTATGGCCATTCAACTACCTGACTGGAGTCAAGTGGTCCATGAATCCTAGTTTGTGGGGACGAAACAAGTGTTCAGTACTTCTTTTTTGGTTTTCAATGATTCTCTAACTGATGTCGCGTATGTGTGTGTGTGTGTGTGAGGAGATCGGGATGAAAATAGCATTGACGCTAAAAAAGAATAGCTGATCTATCATATCAACTGTACACTAAGGTTATTTTCATACTTTTCTCATCTCGTTCGATATTTAAAACAACCTTGATTGATAATCTGTGAATATATATTGTTTTCCCAATGCTACATACAATCTGAAAATCTATTCATTTGCGAATGCATTTTTAAATTGTACTTTTATTCAATATATATAACTGTGGAAGAAGTGTACTTTGTTCACTTCTATTGTTTTCCTTGTACTTCTTCGATGGCTTTTATTTATTCTTCTGTCTTTTGTTGTGTTCTGAGATGGTTAGTTTATTAATTGCCTCATTTTTGATGTGAGTGTGTATGTATGTGTGTGTGGTGAGCGGTACTCTTCACGGAATTCGAATGAATATCTGCTATTTGAAAAAAAACAAACAAAAAACAAAATGATACTTTGGTCTAAAATAAAATATTTATTGATTTAAACGAAATAAATCAATAACAGGACGAGTGAGCAAGCCAGAGAGAGAAACTGCTTTTAAGATTTTCGTGCGAGTTGTCCTTATAATATTATGAATGGATAAATTCGATAATAGATAAAAAAAAAGTTTTTAATTAAGTATATAGATATAGGGATTTCGTCCTTCAACAGATCACATCAGATAAGTCGGTCTGGTGATCACGTTATTGTTTGGTTACCTATTAGTTTTGCATTTTTTCCTCATGGTTAAGGTTTTAAACTATAAGGATTTCCACAATCTAAGATGTTTCCCCTTGGTTGTTTATCTGAGAACTATTGAAAACCAGGGAGTGTTGGACAGTTGTTTCATCTTTGTCTTGGGCTCTTCATCAGTGTTCATCTACTACACCACTGGGAATTCAGCTCCAAGACCTTGAGGTTACGAGGCCAAGCTCGTTGACCATTCAACCACTTGAGTTCATAGGATACTGGAGTGCATCCCAGTAGCTGGATGGTTATTACCAGAAGGTCCTGTGTTCGATCCCTGATGAGGTCATGAGAGTGTACCGATGAGAGGAATCCCTAACTTCATCTGTCACATAGTACTTCCTGGTTTCTGACGGTCCTGTTATTGATGTCAGTTATTGATCTGACCCTGAGTGTGACTTCAGGGTCAAGAAATGCAAAGAGCGAACAATTACTTTCAATAAATTTTTTTCCTTCAAGTTCCCTGTGGAACACAGGGCTTCAAGCTAGTGGCTTAAAGTTTCTGTGGGAGCGTTTATTTTACAGGATGGGGTTGATAGCCTCATGCCCAACCTTTACTCTGTATCAGCATTACTTCTGGCTTAGCGAGGTTAAGAAGTGCGTTTGTGGCCGGGGATCGAATCCCAGGCCATGCGCATGGTCGGCGAGCGTCCTAACCGCTGTGCCACCGACGCAGTAATGACAGACCTATCAAACTTTGATTGAACACTAGGGGCTAATAACCAATATGATGCGTCGTCTAGTCTTTCGTTTGCTACACACTGAAGTCTATCCATCAAGTATGCGCCGACACCATGAATTAGACGGAAGTCAATAGTAACTTACTACCTAGTGTCCAATCAAAGTATCCATTACAGTCCTACAGGAAGAGGTCAATCGCAAGGCCGAAAAACTCAGTGGTAACATCTATGACTTCAGCACTGGGTGACTGTCGTTTGAATCTCACTAGGAACATGAATTCTTCCAAGACTACAGATCCACCTTGCTGACTGATGAGTACTAACAAGCAAGGAATCTAGGTGATCCAAGACTTTCTGGCAAGTCCCTTCAACCAGCTGAGGCCAATCAAATCAGACGCTAGGGGAATAATAATAGTCTGTTGGTTTTGGTTATCGTTTACTTTATATTTCCTTTATTTCAGATAAGTCAATTGAATCATAATCTCAGTGTAAAAGACAGTTTACTACGGATATTTTTAAGGGATTCTGATCAACTTGCAGATGGTAATGATGACCAGATAAGTACAACATCCAGTGGACGTGTATCACCTATTCGTAGTCAAGGTTTATCGTAAGTTTTGATAATTCAATCTAATTATTTCAGCTTTGTTATGTTTTCAAAAGTTAATTTGTAAGGATTTGATTTGATTCGAATTTAATCTCAGATTGATATTAGTTAAAGAACCATTGGAAACCTAGGGAGTACCGGAGAGCTGTCTCGTCCTACTTTGGGACGACTAGACAGAAACTAGCAGATGACACTGGCTAGTGGTCGCGCTAAAATCATGAATTGGTAGCAGACGGAACTCATTGAAGAGCGCTAAATTGGGACGAAACAACTGTCTAGTGCTCCCGGGGTTTTTTGTACTAGTATAAAGTAATTAAGTATGGATAACTCTCTCTATATTAGAGAATTTTTAGAAAACAATCGTTTCATCAGTTTTGTAATCTATTCTGTGCTTTCAGCGTTTACCGTCTTTTGATTACGGTTTTGTAATGGTTTCGTAATCTCAACTTCTCACGCCTTACTCACTTTGACATCACTAACCTTCTGTTTATGTTTTCTTTTTGTACTGTTGTGAAGTGTAGGTCAGCCTTAACTGAATTCCCTGTACACACATTAGATGGCTCTAGTTTATTTAGCCTGTTTATCTGAGTAAATAACTAACAGTTATACTGCCTGGGCTTTTTTCATCTGGTGTTTTATGCGTTTCACATTTGTCATGAAGATTTTGGAGCGTTTCAATTCTACTGGTTTACGTAATTTTCCTTTCGTTAGCTGTAACATCCAACTATCGTGTGTGCTGTGCAGCAGAGTTCACTCCGTCTTTCTTTATGGCTTTGAGATGTAGGTCTTTGACTACAGATGTTTGCGGCCTGTTTTTTCCGTGTTAAGCGGTGTCGTATGCAAGTATGTAAGTAATAATTAGGCTAAGCGTTGAGAGTTAGAGAAACTATTCGTTGAGGTAGTTAAGCTGCATCGATTGAGATGTCTATATGCATAACGAGCCATCACCTTCTTCGTTTAGCAATAATTCCTGACACAAGGATCAGGTAGGAGAAGAGTTGGAGGCTGTCAGATCAAAGCGTAGAATCAATCTGTGAGGACTTTGACTGTGGGTTTAATCCACGTAGAAAGATATAGACGTTAAAATCTAATGGTCGAGAACTTGTCTATGACATTGTTCAAATTCCTTGTCAATGGCGCAGATGTATTCAGTCTTTATGAACTTCTAGATCCACTGAAATATTCATTATTCTCCGTGTAATTTTCTTTTCTCCTGTACATTTCCATTCAATACACAGTTCTTTCATTTCGTTTTCTCTGTCTTCTGCATGTGTTATATGAAATTTGACAAGTTGGACTGGTGCAGTTTTGTGCAAAGGTCTACATTGAAAATCCGTCTAGTCAGTCAGTTACTTTTTATCAAAAAACATCATGAAGACCAAGAGGTGCACCATACAAAATCTCGTAGTTTGTGCGAGGGTTGGGATACTCTCAGGACACTTAGACCAAGTCAGGTGGTTGTCTTAAAGAGTCGACTCCGCCCCTCCAAGCCTTTGATTTGAAATGTGGTTCACAAGGCATTGGAGCAGCGTTGTCAGGAGTTACCTTCCAATGATTGGGGTGTGTGTGTGTGTGTAACCAAAACAGGTTTGTACACCTCTTGATCCTTTTGGATTCTGGAGCCTATGTACACCCACCGTAGGTTTGGAATCAAGGTTCTCCAACTCCCCTACTAGGTTAACATGGACATCCACTAGTCCGGACGATCGTGAGTTGCAGATGTTCACATTCGTCCTTTCACTTCTGTGGGCAACACTGCTGACGATTGAAGTCAGTGAATAGGCCAATGAAAGCATGATCACATAAGGACATTTCTAAAAGATAAGACTCGAGACTATCCATCCTCGGCTGTATTAGGTGCTTTTGTGAGGGGCAGTCATTTTCTTCATTGACTGTGTACTAATGTAGCGAGATATTTCATTTGTCTTTCACAAAAATAATCGTAAAATAATACTCACAGAAATTGCTTAGAATTAATAACAACCGTCGTCTGTTGTCTGTTTGCTATTTTTTTTCCCATTGACATTTGCCGTCTTTCACTTATATAATCTACGTATACATATAAAGTAACACTTCTTTGACTGTGTGTGTTGTAGATATTTTTACTTATAGAAATAATAATTTAATCAAGTGGTGTTTATCTAACAGATTAATCTGCCTGTGTGTGTGTGTGTGTGAATGTGTCTCAGGATGTTTCTCTATATACACACAGATGAAATTCTTTGTGATGAGGAATAATTATTCTCACTCATGATAAAAGTAAAGAGATCCGCAGATATGTCAATGTTAGATTATGTAATAAATGATAAGATGAAGAATGGACGCTTCAGAGAAAGAGAGAGAGAGAGAGTTGTCAGTGACAGACAATATCCGTCGTTAAACCTGTAAGGAAAACACCAACGACAACAAAAACATAAGATTTATGAGCAGATTAAGTAATATGTGATATATATATATATATATATGTTTAAAAGCGATAAAATAGTTAGAACCCCAGTGGTAATCATAATATTGTTGTAGGGTGAATAAAAATAGGAACACTTGATTGAGTCAACTAGGATACAGAATATCCATGTTTAAAGAAGAAATGACATTGAATTAAAGGGTGGATGAAAGGATGGTGAGACAGTAGAAATATTATTATTATTATTATTATTGACAGATAGCTAGTTTTAAATATAAACTTACTTACATCAAACTTCAAATTCATTTGCTTATTTCTTAGGTATTGATATGTTGCCTAGGTAGCAGTTTACAAGATTAGAGTTGGCAAACCATATAGGCCAATTTTAATGTATCGTTAGGCTTTCCGTGTATGCCCTTAGAATACTTACCACGCATTTCACTCTTGTCAAGCATAAGAGAGAGAATCTTGCAGAACTGGCATGAAATAGTGGAGCATTGCATATGGGATAACTGGTGGTAATACAACAGCGTAACAAACGACAATTCTTGACAGAGTGTCTTCAGATTAACCACCACTTCACTAAAATAATAATGAAGGAGTCAGTAGTTATAGATATAAGTATAAAACTTGGGCACTGTGGTAGAGCAAAACTCCATTATGGATAAAATGCTTTATTCTGATAAAGTGTCACTCAGTCTTGTACAGTAATATTTACTGATGACTACGTTTCAAGCACAAACTATTGCTCATAATCATACCCAAGTTACTCACACAACTTTTTTTCTTCATTTATATACATGTGTGGAATCGATTAGATATTGGAATAAAAATCAGTATAGAATAATACACATTCAGAAATAATAATCAATTAATCAATTACAATCAGATGGGAAATAAGACGAGTGTTTTTTATAGTCATAATAAGCTACTTGTTAGAATGTTGTAATGTGCTTGAATTGAAATAGGATTTTAAGATTATTTATTATCCTCTTCTGATTTGACTGGTGGTAATAATATCTTCCATGTCTCTGGTATTTGCATTGAGTCATTTCTGTTGCATGTGTTAGGTGTAGACTCAATGAACCAGGATTCAATAATCAATCTCTCTCTCTCCACCTACCTAGATTACTTCCTAGAATTTCAACCCTCTCCCGCCCTATTGTGTGGTTGTGTGTTAATGCGTGAAGTGCAATTGCTGAATATTTTTCTAAATCACCCATCTTCACGGGGTCAACGATTCTTACCCGAGCTAAATTCTTATGTTCCGACAATCTGATTATCCCCGATCTACCAGTTTGATCTATATAGTCGACCTCACAGTAATTGCAACGTATTTTGTAAATTATATTATTTTGTCTAATTGGGTCCACCGGGTCTTTTAGCCTATAGAGCTTGTCCTACCCTAATTCCTGCTTAATTAAGAATCCTACGTAGGGTCTCAGTTGTCCCCTTCTTTTATGGTGTTAAAGTGGATGACTTATATTCTCTCTTATTAATGTTATCATTACTAGTTTCACAGTTATTATTATTATTTCGCTTTTGGCCTTTTTTCGATCTTCCTAATGAATTTTTTTTCCTTCACGTTCCCAGTGGAACATAGGGCTTCAAGCTAGTGGCTTGAAGTTTCTGTAGCAGTTTTTATTTTACAGGATGGGGTTGCTAGCCTCATGCCCAACGTTTCCTCTTTACCAGGATTATTTCTGGCTTAGCGAGGTAAAGGAGTTCGTCGGCCGGGAATCGAACCCCGGACCATATGCATGGTCGGCGAGCGTCCTAACCGCTGTGTCACCAACGCTCTAATGAATTTTATAGGATAGTTATTCATCACCAACGCTTTTTCTATCTGTTTTATTTCGTCATTTAGATCTTTTCTTGTGCTACTTAGTGCTATGGCTCGGTTTGTTAGAGACTTAACTAAGCCTGCCTTAACAGTTAACGGATGAGATGAATTAAAGTCTGAATATCTATTATAGTAGTAGTTATAGTCCAGCGTCGAATATTGGCGTTGATGTAGGCTATTGGTTTTACCGTTTGTTTATCTCTTAACGCTTGACGATTTCCATTCTTATGAATTGAGTAGGAGAGTTTTACAAGATTAAAAATAACTCTTTGTGTTATGATATTTAAAAGACAACTGGGATTTTTAATATCAACTAACTACTACTTAATGGAAATCCTCGCGTAATATAAATTCTCCTAAAATCGATAGATGACTATAGAGAGAGGCTAGTTAATTAGTTAGTTCGAATGCCTTTGAAGGTCATACAGCCTGTATACTATTGTATGCTGTTATTGACTTTCTATGCAAAATAGGCTAACGGAAGCAAATAGGAATCGATATTGAATAATTGATTTTTTGTCCTGTGAAAAAAATATATCTGAGGGTTAACAAAAATGTACATGTATTATTATAATTGGTATTTCCCATTGTGTAATATGACTCATGTGTATATAACACACATACTTCAATGAGTCATCGCATTTTACCCCTTGACCTCGACCATATAAATAAATTAGACTTATAAATAGACAAAATCAATTGTCTAGTTTTGTGAATTTTGTACGGGATGAGTCATTGTTTTAGATGAGCATAAAT